TATCTATCTATCTATCTATCTATCTATCTATCTATCTATCTATCTATCTATCTATCTATCTATCTATCTACTCTCTCTCTCCATCTTCTGCAGGACATTAGTATAATAATCTAAATAAAGAAAACTTTCAGTAACTATGTAAAGAATATAAAAAATTAAACGCAGAAGGAATTTAAAGCATGCATGTGACATTCTATAGCATTTGAGGCCCAGAAAGTAGGTCTGAATAGCTTTATCATTGCCAGGAACAAATTGTCCATTGTACATGTTCCATAAGGATTGTGGCATATAAATTAGGCCTCTAAGTGTACCTTTAGAGTATGGGAAGTACTTACAGGAAGATTGCTTAATGAGCTGGGAGTAGAAAGCAGTTAAACCAGCCGCAGAAAGAAAAAAAAATCTGATCTAAAGGGGAAAAAAAGGCTCTTTCCTTTCTTTTGGTAGCCCTTTGAATGTTTTGGACCAAGCTGCAGTAATGGGATTCCTCACCATTCCTGCAATTAAGCCCCACCATTAAAAGAAAGGCTGAGGGGCATATACCAAGCCCCCAAGCAAGGACATTTATCATGGCAAAACCCAACATACATATACTAGCTCCCTAGCTTCTGGCTAAATGCCATGAATGTGGATGATTTTAAATGGAAATGAAAAGATTGCTGTGCTTAAAAATGCAAACACCCATTGGGAAAGGATCAGGCCAGTCAAACAGGCTATTCCCTCCCCAGCCCAAAATAAATAAATAAATAGCAATAGTACATTTCTCATGCATGCGAATGAATGAAACACAGATTAGGACACAAACAATCCAGGTCATGGGAATGCAATAATCATGAAATGACATGCTAATTGTGGAATTTTGACTAATAAGCAAAGCAGACTTTCCCATTCAGGCGCAAGGAATGAAGATCAGCAGGTAGGAATCAGCAGTTCCTATTTGGAGAAAGCCATAATGTCAATCACCCCCCCCCCCCAGGCCATCAAGGTTTATTGACTCAGGAAAGCAGGAGGAGAAAAATATAGAATTTAAGCCTCTGAGCATAGATCTATTTAAGCGGCTTTGCTACCAATATTCCTGCAGTGGACAAATCTGGATGTATTAGGTAATTCCAATAGGGCTCATAGGAGCTACAATCCTTTAAGGTAAAGCTAAAGGTTCCCCTCACACATATGTGCTAGTCGTTCCTGACTCTAGGGGGCGGTGCTCATCTCCGTTCCTGACTCTAGGGGGCGGTGCTCATCTCCTGACTCTAGGGGGCGGTGCTCATCTCCGTTTCAAAGCCAAAGAGCCAGCGCTGTCCGTGGTCATGTGGCCAGCATGACTACATGCCAAAGGTGCACGGAGCACTGTTACCTTCCCACCGAAGGTGGTACCTATTTTTTCTACTTGCATTTTTACGTGCTTTTGAACTGCTAGGCTGGGGTAAGTCATGGGAACTCACCCCGTTACGCGGCGCTAGGGAATCGAACCACTGAACTGCTGACCTTTCTGATTGACAAGCTCAGCGTCTTAGCCACTGAGCCACCACATCCCTGCTCGGGCAACATTACAAAATTCCTAATCTGTAATCCAATTCTGGTACTAGTTATATTTCTCTCTCTCTCTCTCTGTCTCTCTGTCTCTCTCTCTCTCTCTGTCTCTCTCTGTCTCTCTCTCTCTCTGTCTCTCTCTGTCTCTC